AGGAGGGTAGGAAGGTAGGAGGGTAGGAGGGTAGGAAGACTTACCAGTTGATGTAGGAGGTGACGTGACAGTCTCTTGAAATACATGTGCAGCTTCTTGTTCTTCTTCTTGTGGCCGTCACTCACAATCTAAATAAATAAAAGGTTTTGAAAAATACTTTAAAATTCTGCTTTGTTCTAGTTTGATAAAAGGACACTGTCACCATGGAGACGCCTCGGTCAACAGCACTTAGACAGTCAGTCAGTTTTAAATGTGAGGGAACGAGTGAGGCTGCGTTCATCCACCCTGACACTTACACAGGAGCGAAGGCCGTCAGCCTGTCGGCTCACGATATTGCGGAAGTCCTCCAATCTTCTCTCCTCCCATGATGCAGCACTGTGGTCCTCCTCAAACAACAACACCACCTCCTCCAGAACCTGCACCGTGAATGCAAGTTTATCCTCAGCCTGGGAGAGGAGGAGGAGGAGGAATGAGATGAAGGAGAAATCATACAGAGATACATTTGACAGCTGTTTTAAAAACTGGATGTAAAATCAAGAGATATAACAAATACAGTAAAACACACTTTTCTCTTAAAGAAAAGAAAATCTTGTGTTTTCTTCGCTGCAGGTTTTTATTTTACTCACCGATGCTTGGGACGTCTGATTGTACAGATCGTTAGGGAAGGACACTTCCACATCCTCAGTGGAGTTAGTGGAATTATGAGCCTGCGTCACACACACACACCTCATGTTGTCATTTCATTCACTTCAGTTATTCCAAAGACTTTAAACCTGATGCAAACAAGTCCACTCACCATCATCTCCAGCAGATCCAAAGACTCTTCACTGATCTGTTTGAATTTATGATCCATCCATCTGCAGCTCAGCGCCGAGCCTGCRACGCTCAGGCCGAGACAAACTAAGAAGATCCTGTGGAGCATTTTTAAAAGAGCAGGTAGAGGTTGACTTCGTAAACTCAGGTGTCTCCTGCTGTTTGTGTTGGAGCAGAGCTGCAGAGCCTCATTTATAGCATCACACACCTTTTTCATTTTCCTGACATGAGCTGCATGTGGCTTTCACACATCAAGGTTAAACCTCAACATACACTCCACTCATTATTTCCATTTGGCTTCATATAATCATTCATTGATAAAACTGCAGGTGTCACTGTGTCCATTCGGCGTCATAAAGGGAACTTCCTCGAAGAGAAGAGGAAAGTGGCTGTGGCCTGAACTTTGACGCTGGTTCATGTGACATTTCACCTCATTGTGACCGGGGCTGCACCAATGTGACAACCAGAGGGATCTCCTGCACATTTTACTCTGCAGACCAGGCCACATTTAAAACCTGATATGAAAATGAAAAATCACACAGTGGCAGCAGAGTTTTATTTTGTTATGGTTCTTTTGTCAGGGACAGAGATGTGTTTTTGAGAAAAAACTTGAAATATTTGCACACACGTCCGACCTGGTGAAAAATGAAATAGTTTATGATTATGTAGTTGATGGCAGAGTATCTTTCTGAAGTGAGGATTTAATGACCAGTAAAGCTGGGCGTGTCTGCAGGTTCCACATTCCAAACAGGCCACAAGGTGAAAGCACTTCCCTGAACAGAAAGTGAAAGCAGCTCCGGCCTGTGGTCATCGCTGCTTCACGCAGCTCACGTCATTTTCTGTAGAATGAACACACATGCAGGCTGTGAATGAGCCTCATGGTATTTCATCATGTCATTTGCGTCAATCATATTATCAATGAAAATTGTATTTTCACTTTGTTGTTCAGTGGTTGATTGGGTGTTTTCTTTTCTTTTAAATCTCCAATTA